GGCAGGGGCAGGGGCAGGAGCAGGGGCAGGGGCAGGGGCAGGGGCAGGGGCAGGAGCAGGAGCAGGAGCAGGAGGAGTAAAGTAGAGGGAGAGGGAGAGGGAGAGGGAGAGGGAGAGGGAGAGAAGGGAGCGAGGTACTGGAGGAGAGAGAGTGAGTAGAAGGGGGGTGGAAGGAGACAACTCTGATTTGCATGATGAACGGAGTTGTTGCAGCAGCAGCCGAGTCACAAGTGCAGGAAGCGTGTCTGTTTGCTGCATGCGCCTGACGAGATTGTTTTCAGTCTGACAAGTCGGCGATGTCGAGCTCGAGCGAGGTAAAGGATGGCTTCATGCTCAACAGCTACAACAGGGCCAAGGCCATGGCCAACAGGGCCAAGAGCAGACGCTGGTCCCCCTTAGGGTTCGCGCTGAGGACCAGCGAGATCGTCATGCTCAGATCCGCTCGTCTGGTGGGGTTCAAGGACGCAAGTCAGATTGACGCCTGGGTGACCAGGAGGCTGAGCGCGCTGGAGGAGCTGACGTACCCCCTCCTGAAGTCCCTCAAGGCACTGGTGGGTCGCATGCATCCTGTGAAGCGACTATCTCTGTTCCTGCATGGCCTCGTGCTCGGGAGATCGAACAAGGCAAACGCTGACGGCTCGCCCCGCACCCACGAGGACAAGGACGGGAAGGAAGAGGCGACCGATCTGTCCACCGCCACTATGCAGGATGAGGGTGTGCGAGGGGGGGAGGCGGAGGAACAAGCTGTATACAAGGAGGCTGATGAGATCAGGGCACAGAGCAAGAGCCTGAACAGCTCGCTGGACATGAAGGAGCTGGGAGACGACCTCGTGAGAAGAGGAGAGGAGCTGGTCAAGAACGGCTCTGAGCTGCTGCAGAACTTCCTGCAGACTATTCAGAACAGCCCAGCTCGGAGATAGAGCCTTGCGCGTTAACAGGATACAACCTGATGCATTGAGGGGGAGGGAGGGAGGAGAGAAAACGGGATGGGGTAGGTGAGAACAAGAGGAAGGCAGGGGAGGGAGGAGAGGACAGCAAGAGTAAGAGAGGGGAGGAGAGGAGAGGAATAACATCAGTTGAGGAGATGAGGACAGAGATGGGCGGAAGAAGTTAGTAAAAACATACTTGAGCACGCTTTATGGTCTTCTTTCACTTGAGAACATAGTCGCTTTCGCATTAAAGCACAAACAATACAACCTTGACATGGCAAAACGATAGGACAGCCGAACTCCCCGACAAGGCGAGGAGGCGCCTCAGATAACCAATCTCGTCGCGCCACCTCTGCCCTCTCCCTCACCCTCCCACCCGCAAGTTGTCGCTGGAGCTCGCATCGTCGAAGTCCTGCCATGGCTTGTCAGCAGCTCCAAGTGGGAGAGGACAGGGAGGGGAGAAGTCGAGTTGGATCATCATACGAGGAAGACAAGAGGGTAGGGGAAAAAGGAGCAGGAGCAGGAGGAGGAGGAGGAGGAGGAGGGAGGAGGGAGGGAGGAGGAGGAGGAGGAGGAGGAGGGGGGA